ACCGAAACTATCAAGTAAAATCAAACTATTGCTCCAATCGCCCTTGTTAATTTCAACTAGTCGACATTAATACAAGTTGAATTATAAGTTTGAGCATTGTTAAGATTTCAACTCATATAATTCACTCTAAGGGCTAGAATAAGTACTACAAGTTTTTCACCTCTAAAGTCACCTTAATCACCATTCCCTAAAATCCTAAACCCTTAACACTTCACATATAACTCACGGTATTCTCGTTCAATCACTTTGAGCAATGTTCATCCAAATTGTCACATTTTGACTTGCAAATAAACCATAATATTAGAACATCCCTAAACAAGTGAAATTCACCAAAAATAAGGCATAAACAATACAGGCGAGTTGTGACTATTTTTATTAGCTTAATAAATGAGAAAAATTAAAGATCGTCACTAAAGTCACAAATATCTCATTACTAAGCCTCAAAACAAGTTTAATGACATTTCTAAGAATAATAGAGCATCAAAACAACAATAAAACAGAACTAATAAGCAGATCCCAAAACATGTCAGAAAACTCAGGAAATTGAAAATTGAGAATTCTAAAATACCATAAAAGTTGAGAAATTTTACCTTAAACGTGTAGAGTGATGCTAGAGAGTGCTAAATATGTGAAATGCAAGGAAAAACAAGCACAAATTCGGCTCCAAAATGAGATTTTCAGTTCTGCCCCTTTTATTCTTTTTCATTTTGAAGATTAAAGACCACGAAATTGATATTTTTTATTCAAAACTCTTAATGGTTAATGATCACAAGATGTTGGAGGATGATTTTATGGTGGAAGATTGAAAGATTTGTGGTTGAAATGGAAGATTAGGCAAAAGAGGGTTAGGGTTTTGAGAGGTGGCAAGAGGAAGAAGGAGGAGAAGTTTGAAAATGAAGAGAAGAACTTGATTTTTTTTTTTTTTAAGATTTTGGACCGATTTGAGCCCTGATCAAGTCTGAGTCTCTGATCGTCCAGAACAGATGTTCAGCCGAGACCTTGGATCTAAAGCTTCTCCTTTAGATCCAAGCTTGGATCCCCTGTTTTCTGCAACAATTGAAGAAATTGTAATTTCTCCAATTGTGACGACCTTGTTCTACAATTTCCGAATGACACTTGAGATGAAATTTTTCACACTTTTCCCACCACATGCAAGTATAATATGCCCTAAATAACCAATCCAACCCTTTAAAATTAATCAAAAACATCTATATCGCAAATTGAGGGTCAAAATGCACCCTTGTTTTAACACGAAAAATGCACTTTTTGGGACTAAATTCAACTCAAATGAGTACATAAATGCATATAAACATGTTAACACCATAACTCACTTGAAAATGAATAAAGCGCATCTTTTGATGTAATAATAAGAAATTTAAATACTTAAGATTAGAAATCGAGATTAAACTTCCCTTATTTCAACTTCAGCTCTCTAAATAATCTTCAAAGATGATCCTTCAAGATCGATGGCCCTACAAAACCAATGAAACACACTTAATTAGACAAAAATCACACCAAACTACACAATACACACAAAAAACAAACTAAAACTAAAGGAAACGTTGGGTTGCCTCCTAACAAGCGCTTTGTTTAAAGTCAATGAGCTCAACTTTCTTTGTTAATCTTCTGAATTACATGTTGGGGGACTAAATCCTCCCTAAGGGATAAAATTCCCAAACCATCCTTCATTGTGATGCACACGACATTCCTCCCCTGTATCTAACAACTCCAAATGCCTAGGATGATTATTAGTTTGATGAAAATATTGCTTATCAACAATATATGGCTGGGAATACTGTGACAGCCCCACCTCACCCTAAGGCGAACCAAAGGGTTCGGCGGACCGCCTGCCCAGCTCTCGCCAGGACTAACGGTTCAGATTAGAGCGATCGAATACGTTCCGGACCATACAACGCGCATAGACAAGTCAAAATCCCAAAATAAAACAAAACGAAATCGGAGTCGGCCATGAATAAGAACCGACATGGCAAAATCCAACTAAACGTCAAGCAAATATTTACATCTCAAAATTTAGCATATACAACCCAAAGGGCATACCAAAGTGATTCAAAAGTGGATACATGTATGGTTTGCCAAATCCAAAAGAGAAACGGACCCAAAAGTATATTTAGGGTTTAAATCAATGAGCTATACGAAAGATATGTCCAACTAGCTCAATTCGGCAACCAATTATCAAATCCAGTCCAAAAGTATTTATTTTCCTGTAAGGAAAACAAAAAAAGAACAGAAAGGGGTGAGCTTGCGCTCAATGAGGTACCATACATATAGCAGTAAAACCATGGCATTTCACATTTCACAAATCAGGTACACATGCCAGATGTAAAGTAAAGGAACCAATGATTCAAATCAGAAGGATACAGGTGGCTCTCAGGAGCCAGCTTTCCAGCGCAGTACTTGATCCAAGCCGGTTGACTCTCCGTCAACGTATATAGAACCAACACGTCCGTAGACCCCACTTTACACCAAATTCCGTCCACCAAACACCCATTTACCGGGCCCGCTCACCTTAACAGAACAGAAGTGGTAATACTCGAGTATACCGGAATCAAGGGTCTCAATACCCAAAGATCCCAAAACAGACTACCGTGGTTCGTTATCTAATCGTCCAGGCCCTTGCCGGCCCGACTCGAATAACTTAGCCACAGGATTTGAGCTCATAGGTCACAGAAAGGTCGTTGGACTCAAGCTTCCAAACGACGTCAGAACAGATACAGATCCAGATACAGATAACAGATACAGATACAGATACAGATAGCAGATTCAGATACGCGTTCAAAATTGGCATATGAACAGACCAGAGAACGAGTGTGATAAAGTACACCCTCGCCTCCATTTTATCAAAACAGTATTTGGCTTCAATAGTCATAAATCAAGTATTCAGATATTCAGCTATTTCACATAACGGGTAGCAGGTAGTGGAACACTCACCGGCTCAACTTCAAAAGTTTTCACTTCAGATTGGCCTTAATCGCCAAGAAACCCTAAAATAATCAAAATAAACCAATTGAAGGTTTCACTTCCAGAATCGAGTAAACAGAATGCACATGTGAGGCTCGACTACTAGTCGTATGCCTCGCCAAATAATTACTAATGCAAGGGTGCAAAACATGATTTTTGGGAACAAAAAGGTAACATGAAGACCTAGGTTCAACAACCTAAAAGCCCTTCATTTCTACCAAAAGGCAAATCCAACTTAAAGGAACCAAACGGCCTAGAAAATCGGGCAGCACTTCCCCTAAATTTGCTAACTTTCCAGCCATCATGGCTTCATTATTTCCTCAAATCAGTCCCAACATCTCACACAAAAGTCATCTCATTTCCCAAAAGCCGTTCACTAGGCTCAAAGTAGTACAAGTACAAAAGTTAGCTAGGAAATGACCGGAATGAAAGCAAGCCTTAAAACATGCAAACAAGTACAAGGAGACTCGATAACGAGTCATAAACCAATGCCAAATATGACCCCAATAGGGTTCCATGAACATATACAAACATTAAAGGAAACCAGAAATTTCGGACATGCAATTAACTTTGGCCCTGAAAAAAAAACAGGTTTTGACTTTACTTTGCGGTAATAGCACCAAATGCACTACGATTATCGGATGAGGGTGAAAGACCCACCATCTCGAAAATAAAAAACAGGGCTACAACATCACAGAAGGTCACTCAACCCAGTTTTGAGTGCAAACAGGTCAAAAATGCAAGATACTACATCAACAACGTAAAACAGATTCACCAAAACGCATTCTAGCAGAAACATCATAACTCAGGCTCTACAAGTCCAAATCCAGAAATTCCAAAACCAGCTGAAAGCTAAGAAACAGGGCTAAATTTCATCAGAAGGCCTCAACAACCAATTCAGAAGCATTTCCAGCCAAAACAACCAATTACAGGCGCAATTCTTACATTCGGGTAAAACCAGAACAGCAATAGTAATTTCAACTTTTCTTGCTCTACGCTACTCCGATTGACCTGAAATTTTGTAGGCACCTCTAAAATGTCATTCCCTACAACTTTCATGTTTTGAGCTAAGGCCAATTCGGCCTCTATATATGACCTAAAATTTCGGACAGAATGTAGCTTCAAGAACCCTAGATTTTTCAATTTTCTTCCAAAACAGAAATTGGTTGCAATTAATCACTTTTTCCACCTTCTAGATGCCTTATATACCATTTCCAATCATCATACATAGCCACACAATCATGCTTATATTAAAACGGAAAAATCCCCAAAAATAATAAAACTTCACCAATTCAACCAAAACTCAAGATTTAATCCATAAAATTGCATCTCATACAACCACTAAGCATGATTTAAGCATCAATTAAAGGAGGAGGGTGGTTCTTCACAACTTACCTTAAGAACAAGAGAGAGAGAGCTATTGGTCACCTTAACTTTCCAAACAACTTCACCAATCACCTCAAAATCACTAAGTGAAGAGGTTTTATGGAGTAATTGCAAGATCAAATGGTTGGATGGTTCAACTTGAGCAAGATTGGAGCTAAAACTTGAAGAGTTTTCTTTCTTTCTTGAGAGAGAGAGGGTCGGCCAAGCTTGTAGAAATTTAGGTGCTTTTTGGGTCAAATTTGAGTATTAGTAAAGGTAAGAAATAATGGTCAAGTCAAGGTTGAATAGGAAGGTGACACTTGTCACCCTTTTTAATGCAACTCTATCCTTTTGTCTCTCCAATGATAGTCCATCTAGGTATCCTCTAATTATCTCTTAACACCCGATAAAATAATTCCAGTATCCAAAACTTAATCTAGTTGGCCGAAATTTTTTGAACTTTTCGCACTAGTGGGTCCCACGTCCGGTATACGCTCTTAATTTCTCAAAATCTATTCGATACTAGAAAAATCATCTAAAAACTATATTTACTCATAAAATTTATCTAGAAAATTTTTCGGATACAGAAAGTGCAGAAAACAAGCCATGAAAAATGCGAAAATCGAGAAAATGCAAATTACGGGTTCTCACAAATACTAACCATTTTCAAACTCACTTAGTGAATCACCTATCCCACTATGAAATGAAGAAAAATACTCAACTTTCTTGATCGAAATGGCTCCCGGTGATCCCTTTATGATGGTAGGAGGTACTTTTTCTTCCTTTAACTCCATCTCATGAGTAACCATGGCAACCTGTGAATCCTCAGAACTAGAGTTAGTAGAGTGAATACACTTCCCATTGGACAAATTAAAAACTATAGTTTTACCATTCACTCCAAATAAAAGCTTATCTTCTTGTACATCAAATAAAGTACCGACAGTGGCAAGAAATGGTCTACCTAATATTATAGGCATGTTCATATCTTCCTCCATATCTAGGATAACAAAATCTACAGGTATAATAAGTTTTTCAATTTTCATGAGCACATTTTCTAACACTTCTATAAGATACTTGATTGTCCTATCCGTCAACTGCAATGTAATGTTGGTAGTCTTTAATTCAATTAACCACAACTTTCTAGCAATAGATAAAGGAATCAAAGATACACTTGCACCTAAATCGTATAAAGCATTTGAAAACTCAATATTACCTATAGTGCAAGGTATAGAAAAACTATAAGGGTTGTTTAGTTTGAGAGGGAGTTTGTTTTGAATGACTGCACTACATTCCTCTATTAATATGATTGTCTCATTATCCACAAGCTTCCTTTTCTTGGACATGATATCCTTCAAGAATTGAGCGTAGGAAGGAATCTGCACAATAGTATCAAGGAGAGGAATATTAATATGTAGTTGCTTGAAATCTTAAAGAACTTATCAAACTCCCTTTCTTGCTTCTCTTGCTTGAGTCTGTGTAGAAAAGGAATAGAAGAATTAGTATTAACGTTAGGAGCAACATTAGGAATTGACAAATCTATATCAATCAGTACGTGATCTTTCTTCACTCTTTTTCTCTTCATTATTTTCACAAGACACATCAAAGTTAGGCTCCTTCAATTGTTTCTCACTTTTAAGGGTAATGGAATTAACTTGCTCTCTAGGATTGATCTTGGGTTTACTAGGTAGCTCTCCTAGATTCCTAGGATTTAAAGAGTTAGTAATTCGGCCAATTTGGACCTCTATATTCCTATACAGGGTAAATTGGTCCAATCTCCCTTCTTCTCTCTCAAATCTCTCAGAAGTGGCTTTATCTAACCGGTCTATGTTGCCACTAGTTGTACTAGCTAGTTTCTCTATAACCATTTTTCAAGCAGGTTTAGTCTCCACAGGTGGTTGTTTATATTGAAAGCCCGGTGGATTCAAAGGCATTTGTTGGCTCCCTTGTTCTTGCCATCCAAAGTTTGGATGATTCCGCCACCCCAGATTGTAAGCATTGGAGTATGGGTTATTTTGGGGCAGACGGATGTAATTGTTCACAAATTGAACCTGCTCTGTGCTTGCACAAATTGATACATCATGATCACCTCTACATATAGTACAACATGCAACATTTACTCCTTGATTAGAACTAAAACTAACTTGCTTATTAAGCATCTTAACCACATTATCTATTTTGGCACTTAACATGTTCAATGTATCTACTTCAAACATACCTACGTTTGCCCATTGATAATTGTTGGCAGCCATTTTCTCAATCAGTCGTTGAGTTTCTTTGGCCGATTTACCCATCAAAGCACCTCCAACTGCTGCATCTACATGAGTCTTCGTCGGATAGATGAGTCCATTGTAGAATATTTGTACTATGAGCCAATCGGGTAAACCATGGTGAGGACATCTTCATTGTAACTCCTGATAATGCTCCCAAGCTTCGTACAATGTCTCTCCTTCCTGTTGATGGAAACTTGTTATATTGATGCAAAGTTTAGCAGTCTTGCCAGGTGGAAAGAACATATTAGGAAAAGTTTTAGATAAATCCGCTCAGGTGGTAAAAGTATTAGGAGAATGAGATTGTAACCAGACCATGGCCTTGTCCCTTAGTGAGAATGGAAACAATCTAAACTTAATTGTATCATCACTAACACCGTTAAACTTTATTGTATCACAAATTTCTAGGAAAGTGGACAAATGAAAATTTGGATCTTCAGTAGCATTACCCCCATATTGAGATTATTGCACAATTTGCATAAGAGATGGTTTAATTTCAAAATTATTAGCATTTACCGTAGGTCTCACAATGCTTGTTTGTAAACCATCGCCTCCAGGCAATGCAAAGTCCCATAATGGTCTTCTATCCAATTCTTCAGCCATAGGTTCAATTGATGGAAGTTCAATTGTTATTTCACCTTCTCCTAGAATCTTCATAGTTTCTTGTAGTACTTGCCTTTGTTGTCTATCGCGCCCCATTTTTTACAAGAAAAATAAACGAATGATTTTAAAAGTGAATTTTTGATTTGAAAAATGATTTTTGATTTACAAAGAAAGTGGGTCTAAATGGGACTTGAAAATGCGACGATTTGACCCAAAATATAGTTAAAAAGGGTTTTTGAAATAAAAATCGGAGTCGCCACTTGGTATTGAGTTAAGGTGTACCAAGTCACCAAAAATGAGTTTTTTAAGGGAAAAAGTAAAAAAACCCCTTTTAAATGACTCCTAGTCTACGAAAATCAAAGGAAAGGTTCGGGAGTCACATTTGACGAAGGGGAAGGCAAGGATAAAAATCCAAGGCACCCCTTCGACCTAGCCAAGGCTAATTGCGTGATTTAGTCAAAGATTTTCTTGTTTTAATCTAAGGATTTATCACATTTGGATGTACTATATGAATGCAAACCCTAGACCTAGGAGGGTATCGGGGGGATCGAAATTTCCCTTCAAAGCTCGAATGGTACCAATCACATTAATTGTGACGCCCAATAATGTCTCTTTGGAGAGGTCACGAATAATGCTAATGACGAAAAATGAGTGAAATGAATGTATGCAATGTGAAAATATGAGTTTGCGTGAAGTGAAAAAGTAAAAAAAACAATAGTGTGTAAGTGGAAGTGTGCAAATGAATGTGCAAAGTAAGGTGAGTAAAGTGATAGTATGAAGTGCGTGTGTGCACGTGATAGTATATAAAGTATAAGCGGCAGAGTGAAAACGTGCAAAATAAAAGTTGTGTGAAGTGAAAATGTGGAAAAATGGATAGAATATGAAGTAAAAGTGCATGTGATAGTGGATAAATGAAATGCATGAACCCTAGAGGAACGCAAGCAAGACGGGTACAGGGGACTAATGTCCGTGACTCAATTTTCCCTTTAATAGAGGGAATACGAGCGTGCTAAGGCTAGAAAGCCAAACTCGTCCATATCCCATATCCAAGGGGTGACTCCCTAACCTATACAAGCAAATGAGCTAATCTAAATGAAAATGTAATCCTAAATGTGTAAGGGAAAGGGAGTGAAGGATCATGCAAAAATGTAAAACTAAAAGGAAAGAATGAATGAAGATGTAGTGAAGGCATGCGAGTATGTACTAGCGAGAGGGGGCCCTATTGGGTCTAGCATTGGACTAGCCCTTTACTAACGCTCATTTACAAGCATTGGACTTGTAAGAACTCGAGAGGAAGGCCATGACTAGCATTGGACTAGCCACGGTGACGTGCATCTATATCCACCATATATAATCAATAGGCATGGTTAAAGCAAGTAGGCATGTGAGCACGTAATTCACATAACACGTAAGCATGCATATCTAGATGCCAAAGCCTAAGAAAGCGATTAAACACATAGCACCTAAGCATGCAAAACACATAAGGCAATTAAGGCCCTAACTATTACATTTTTAGGGGGAAGCCTACTACAATCTAAAAGGGGGAAATAAAATAAATAGTTGCAAGAAATACCTAACTATTACAAATTGGCATTCAAGTGCCTTTTAAATGATCAAAAAGGAACTTAAATAAATATACGAAATTAAGCAAATAAAGCGAAAAATAAATAAATAAAATAAAAACATTCACAAAGGACATGCAATTAACACATAAATCACATAAGTACACATAGGGTCAAATAAAGAAAAAATAAGGGATAGAGTGTACCTTCCTCGCAATGGTAATCAAATGAAGGAAAAAAAAGTGGCTTCAAAACAATAAAAGGGTCAAGGCACCAATTAAATAGTAAAGTATAAACAAAATCGCCAAATCCTTCCCAATTGGAACTTAAATGAAATCAAATAGTGCATAATTTTAAAGAAAAAGTAAATTATTGATCAAATTTCTAAAATAGAAAAACTACTAAGGATCCAATAGCAACCATTAACCAATCATTCAAGGCCAATTGAAATATTTTGGGAACTTCAAAGGTCCATAAGTAATGAAATGGTCAAGTAATGGTTGAAATTGCAATTACTTTAGGACCCAATTGCAAGAAATCAGGACATAATTGGGCCTTTATAGAACGAGGAGAAACATGTCAGGTTGATTTGCTATTTTTAGAAGTTATTTTGCATGCAAATTCCATGCAACATCCTACGATACAAATCAAACAAGCATTCTGCAATAAACTTCGGTAGGGCCGAAGTTGTTGTTTTTTTTTTTAGCAAACCAGCAAAAATGGCAAAGGTTTGAACAAAGCCCACGCTGCATCCATTCTTCTATAACCTCCATTGACACAAGATTGAGTATGCAAACAAGGTGATGAAAACTCAGCTTTGTGGGCTGTTTGCGTGAAAAAGAAAAAAGCAGCAAAAGACATAAGAATGAAATGCAGCTTTTCTTCATACACTTGGGAAACTAACATGATGAAACAAAGGAATGGGACACTGATACGAGGATACAATTACAACCCAAATGAATGTTTAACAAATGTGAATGGTGCGTGGATCAGATGGGTTGCTGTGCAATGGCTTCATGAGCTATAAAGCTGCAAACTGAACAGCATTTGGGCAAGAGATGGTTCTAGCAAACATGGGAGTGACCATTTCATGCAACACAAAAAAAACCTTAAGGTATGAGGGACAGAGCTAGGTCGGTACAAGAAGATCATAAGCAATAAAATCACAGAAATTTGATCATCTCAAGCATGCCAGCTTTGGCAAGATTTTCTGCAATCTGTCGGCTTCCACATACCCAGAAGAATAGCCATGAATATTATCCCCAAATAATCATGCAAAATCTGTCAACTAATCCCGCAAAACTCAACCCAACAAGATTATACAATGCCAAACAGACCAAGGATTCAAGATCCCTCTCCCCCCGACAGATTGGGAAGTACAATAGGCGTGAAGATTGCAGCAAAAATGCAAAGGAAAAAGAACTTGCAATGAGGATGCATATTTTCACGCAGAGGCTTTTTTTTTTTTCTTGATTTCTGGATTTCTGCAAATGCTTCTTACTAGTCACCAAACATCTTAAACAAGGTTTCAAACTCAACATTTATCACGCACAAAAAACTACTCATGCAAACGAAAGGAAACAAGGCAGAGAATGACCATAAGATCTGATAAAAACTGAGCAGAGGAGGAGTTCGTCAGACCTCAGATTCACTCATTAGTTTCAAAGCTAAAAAATTTTCCCGGACACATTTTAACACCAACCAGAGGTTGCTCATGGTATTTGACCCACGTACAGACAACAAACAAAACAAGTCAAATGAGTAACTGCTGCAGCAAAACAAAGAAAAGGAAGCCGACATGCCTGAACTGCTGCAACAAGTCGAAAGATTCAATCTTGTTGCAGCAAACTCTTAATCTAAGGACCCAAAAACGAAAGTCCATACTCACGAAAGGAACTTCGACATCAGTCATCAAGAATACCAAATAAACTTGTGATTCTCATAGTTTAGAAGCTGTCTATAAGAAAAGGCAAAAACTTACAGTATCCTCTTTGGTGACGGACGACAGCAAGCAGCAACGGTGGTTGATTCCAGTAGGTAGCGGCGGTCTCAGATAACACCAGATTCTTCTCTTCTCAACTTCACTCCCAGTTTGTCCTTGTTTCTGCCTTCCCTCTCTCAATCTCACTTCCCTCTCAGCCAGAAAACTCTCGTTCACTCTCGGCTCCCTCTCTTTCACTCTTCCTCAGCCCCTTTTTTTTTCAAACCCCCAACTCTCTCTCTCTGGTTTCTTCTCAGCCGTCACTAAGTGTTCTCCTCTCGGTCTCACCCAGCTGTCCTTCCAAACCTCTCCAACTTCATGGCTTTATATAGGCATCAGCCATCGCTCAAACCTAACATCTACGGTTCCCTTTTCTGCATTTTTCTGTGGCCCTCCGTGAGCCTTTAGATGGCTTTTACTTTCCAGAATTTTGAGTTGCCGGATGAAGGGTCAGATGGCCTTGTACTATGCTAATCCGATGGAGCAAAATATCGGGCAGAATGACCGGAAAACCCACTGGAAGAAAACTGCATTTTTGTTTCTTGCATTCTGTTGGTACGCTGCTTATTTAGGAATTTCAGCGTTTTTTTTTTCAATTTCTCATTTTCTTTCCAATGAATCATTTAAAGAAACAAAATAACCACAATAACGATTTAAGTAAAATCAAGTAAAAATGGATAAAAACTAAGAATGAAAGATAAAAACAAAAATGCTAAAATTTTTCTGACTGAATGATTTTTCTTTTCTTTTCCAGTGGATTATTTAAAACAAAAATAATTTTTTTAACAAAATGAGAATAAGATAAACTAAGCAAGCAATAAAAATAAATAAACAAACATAAATCACCTAAAATAAATAAATAAATAAATGAACAAATAAATAAATAAAACTAAAATTTTATTGTCTACAGTTTGCCCCTCTTTGTCTGAGTTTTTGAAAAAAATTGAGACAAAGAAGTAGACGCCAAATACTTACCTGCAAACCAGCCGAATGACTGTTGTTTTTGAAATGAGGACTGACCCCTTTTGATGCAACTGACTCGGACGAAAAATTTAAAAATCGGGACTGACCCGAAATAGGAATTTAAAATCAGGACTGACCGGAGACAGGAATTACAATCGGGACTGACCCGAGGGGACTGACCCCAACATAAAATTTAAAATCGGGACTGACCCGAGGGGACTGACCCCAACAGAAATTTAAAATCGGGACTGACCCGAGAGGACTGACCCCAACAGAAATTTAAATTCGGAACTGACCCGAGGGGACTGACCCCAACATGAAATTTAAAATCGAGACTGACCCGAGGGGACTGACCCCAACATGAAACTAAAATCGGGACTGACTCGAGGGGACTGACCCCAACATGAAATTAAAATCGAGACTGACTCGAGAGAACTGACCCCAACATGAAATTTAAAATCGGGACTGACCCGAAACAAGAATTTAAAATCGGGACTGACCCGAGACAGGAATTTAAAATCGGGAAAGTTCTAGCATACTTACCTGAAAATAGTTCAATTCAAAATTTTCATTTTCAAAGTTATGTTTCTGCCTCTGAGCCAAAGGTTGATTCTACATCACCGTTTGGTTGTGCCTTTGATCAAACTTGCTTGTAATTTTTTCGATCCACCTTTGTTCGCTGGAAATCTTTCCAATACCGACTCTAGTGCGAGGTGTGATCGTTTTCCTCCATGCATGAAATTTTCTGCAAAAGAGAAAGAATAAGGAAACTGCCACCATCATTTGACCCGGTTCCCTTTGAGAATCGTGTAAACATGAGTCGTTTGATGCCTTTGTCAACTTTTGCTATGGTATCTGATTTAGTTGGATTTATTATTTCAAAAACTTTCTGATTCTTCTCAGACTGACCAGGAATGCCTTTAGCCATATTTATGAGATCTGTGTACCGGGCCCTGCTGAATAACGTCCATTCCCAAAAAATGATTGAATCCAAAGTATGCTTTGCACAAATCACGGGGATTGTCATTTATTAAAACTCAATGATTAAACAAATGATGTATGTAAGATAAATTCACATATCATGCAGGAATGAATATGCAAAAGGACGCAAACGCGATCAATCGCCTAAACCATGAAAATGTCATGAATGCAAATAATTTGAGGGAAAATGAATTTTATAAGAATGTATTTGCAAAAGAATATCTATTCAAAGTGAGACACAGCTTTTGGCCAACAGATGTCACATTTGAATCTCTGGATATCTTTGTTCCGGAATTCAATATTGACAGAAGTGTTACAAAACGAAGAGAAATCCGAATGAACCAAGTCACCAGCTGCTCCTCCTCGTGCTTGTTCGCTACAGAACCCTACCTTGGCGCCCTTTCGGATTTTCACCAAGGTTGCCCCCACCCTTTTTGCTTTTTGTTTGTTTTTCTTTTTTTGTTTTCCTTTTTCTTCTCTCTTTTTTTTTTTTAAAAAAAAATTGAGGTGCCCTTTCGGGTTTTCACCTAAGGAACAATGGAAAAGCTCGACCATGATCGACTCAGGAGTGTGAGCTGAAAATTGCTGGCATCAGTAAAATGCACTTCCCTTATCAGTTTAGGTGAAGGCATTATGGACATCACTTGCCAGTGATTAGCGAACCTCTTAATAGAAATACCGCAAGTGACGAAAGCCAGGACTTTGGGCTTTTGTAATGAGGTCAGGTGGGGTGTTTTCAAGAAAGGTTGAAGCTTGAAAGCAAAAATTTTAATGAAAAGTGTGAAATAACCTGAGATTGCATCCTTTTAAAATCATCTCCAATTTTGAACGAAACTGAGGAAAATTTGCCCCAGTTTGATTGGATTTCTCTCCTTGCATTTTGCATTGCATTTTCCTTACCTTTGTATTTTTCTTTTAGAAAAACTAAATTTGCCCCAGTGTGGGGTTTTCCTCTCTTGTTTTTTTTTTTCACAATAAATCTACCCCAGTGTCGGGTTTGCAATTCTCAGGGGTTGCCAAACGAAAAATTATTAGTCTGATAGCTCAAAAGGGACAACTAGGAATTGAATGTTTCAAGTGGGAAAGAAGATGGCCTGACTTGCATTTCATCCTTTGCATGAATTTCTAAAAGAAGTTTTGCGTAATCAAATGAAGAATTTCTTGCACATGTCCGAGTTGATAGGTTGAGGAAAAGTTTGTCCATCCATTTCTGCCAGAATAAGGGCTCCGCCAGGTAGTACCTTTTGAACAATGAATGGCCCTTGCCAATTTGGAGCGAACTTGCCTTTGGCCTCATCTTGCACCGGCAAAATCCGCTTTAGCACTTTGTCGCCTTCTTCAAATGTACGCAAATGGACCTTCTTGTTGTAGGCTCGAGCCATGCGCTTTTGGTAACATTGGCCGTGACAAATGGCATTAAACCGTTTTTCATCAATCAAAGATAGTTGTTCATGACGCTGCTTTATCCAATCAGCCTCTTCCAACTTGGTTTCCATTAGAATATGCAGTGAAGGGATTTCGACCTCGGCAGGTAGCACAGCTTCCATTCCATACATGAGCGAGTAGGGTGTCGCCCCAGTTGATGTTCGAATAGAAGTCTGATACGCCATTAGTGCGTAAGGAAGCTTTTCATGCCAATCACGATGCTTTTCAGTCATCTTGCGAATGATTTTCTTCAAATTCTTGTTTGCAGCCTCTACGGCTCCATTCATCTGCGGCCTATAGATGGCGGAGTTGCGATGTCTGATTTTGAATTGTTCGCATAACCCGTCCACCATATCATTGTTGAGATTCTTGGCATTGTCTGTAATCAATGTTTCCGGCACCCCAAATCTGCATATGATGTGATCTCTTAAGAAATTCGCCACCACCTTCTTTGTCACATGCTTGAATGATTCCGCTTCGACCCATTTGGTGAAGTACTTGTGAGAACCCTGAATTTTTGCAAATAAATACCAATGCAAACTTCAATTTCATTTTTATATAGTATTCGTATTCCGTAATCTTTTCTAGCATCATTTCATTTGTTTTAAATAAGTAAGAAAAAAAAAATAATTTTCAGGTGCAAAATAATATAACGGCGCCAAACTATTAAAGTTCTTAGATTTGCTACACTAAATTAACAATTCTTGAGTTATATTAAGTTTACTTTTAAAAATAATAATAATAATAAATTCCTTATTGTGTAATAGCTAACTTTATTTCCGAATAAAATTAGGAGAATACAGGAACCTTAGTACTAAGATGCAATCGATAAATTTTAGCCAAAAACAATACGAGTATACTAGTTACGTGTAGGACATAAACTTTCGATAATTGAAACCTCTTGAGATTAGTGCATCATTGGGAGGTTAAATTACATTCGGAATAAATTTATGGGATTAATTTAGAATCAAAGACTCAAGTGTTCATTAGAAGGAAGAGTGAAAAGACTAAACTACCCTTGAACTATTTCACAAATTATCATGCAATCCAAAACAGACTCGGACAACATCATAGGCCACCTCTCATTCGGCCAATACACTTCTTTCACCACCTTCACACTCCACCCTCTTGCACACTCAACCCCCTTAACCGCGCCTATTTCTTCACCTCAACCTCGCACAACCAGTTCCATTTCCTCACACCGTGAGCATTGATCAAGAGTGAGAGAGGGAGAGCTTCACCTCGTGAGTATCGACTGAAGGAGAGAGCGAGAGAGCAAACTGAAAAATAATTTCTGGTTCTGTCTGCGAGCATCAAAGAGGGAAGAGAAGAGGAGAAACCGTGAGCAAACTCCCTTCTGCATTCTCCAAGACCAACCAGTTGCCATCCAGCTTCCACCTCCACCAGTTGCAACCGCTACAACCCAAACCAGAACCAACAAACCTGTGCGTGAAGACAAGAGCCGAGAGAGAACAGAAAATTTTTTTTTTCAGACTTCTTGTACGCAAGTGAGCTGACGCTGAGGTGATTTCTGAGCTTAATTTAAACTGATTAGAGATTGATTAAGCTTTGCATTTGACGAATGAACTAGGATAAGCTAGAAAATTTTAATGAATTTAAAATTCTGCCACATTCAAGCCACCGAGGATGATCGAACAAATTCTGGAAATCTTGGGTGAATGACGTTGATAATTGAACTCGATTTCTAAACTGGAAATGTTAATCAGTAGTTAAGCTTCTGCATGTTGAACTTGAGCATCTAACTCCACGTATAATCCAAGGAAAATGCGGAAATTAGGATCAAAGCTGCTGAAAATTTTGATTGTGTGATCTGCCGAGAGTTGATTTGGTAATGTAATTTTAATTTTGACTAATTGAGGTAATCTGAGCACATAAATGCAACTAGCTACGTGAAAATATGATGATTAAGCTAAGTACTGGTAGATGAAGCTACATCAGAGCTTGCATGTATTGATTGTGCAGTCGGATGATGAAATCAAAGCTTAGAAAAATCTGTTTTGGTAGCATATGGTTCTGCCGAGAACTTGACTGGAGTAATGCAGCTTGATTTGGTTTAATTTTGTCGTTTTGAGCTTTGCATGTAGTTAATTAGTTGAGTTAGAACAGAAAATAAAATAAAATGCAATCAGTTTTCGTGCAGCTACAAGTGAGGCTAGCTGGAAATTTCTTTTTTGGAAAAATTGGATGACTCTTGTTGTTGATCGAACTTAATTGTTGAACTAAAAATGTTAATCAGTTAGTTAAGTAGTTGTATGTTGAATTTGAGTATTTAAATCACTGAATAAGCCGAGGAAAAATTTGATTTAAGACTAACGAGCTGCTGGACATTTTCTTTGATAAGCCGTGAGACCTGAGTTGGAAAATGTTAGTTCGAACCAGGAAATTTTGAGATTTGTAGCTAGCTAAATATTTGCATGCCAAAATGGAGCACCTAACGCAATAATTTAGCCAAAGAAAATTTTAATATAAGATCAATGGCTGCTGGAAAATTTAGTTAACCAAGTGTTTGAGCTGAAAATATTAAATTGTTTCCGGAATTCACAGGTTGATTTTTGAATATTTTCCTTGGCATATAATGGTTTCGAAATGCAGGAAAAAGGTGTATTTTAAGATATATAAGTGTTTAGCTATGAAACAGTTGAGATTTTGGAAGTTTGAATCGAATTGATGAAGTGTAACTGCTGGGAAACTTTCGGTCAAAATGATGGAAGTCGTAAAGGAAATTTTTCCAGATTTCTTTTGGCGAATTTTAGTTCTAAAATTTCTGTTTTGAGCTATAAAATATTTCATGCTTATTGACCTCACTCTAGAGCATGTCAAGAGGGCCGTGCATGTGAATTTTTTTTGGGTGACCATTTGATGTTTATTATGGCTACAAGGATGAGATGAATTTATCGGCAACTGAAGGAATAATTTTGAATTATAACTATTGTGAAATATTTAATCCGCATTGGTGTACGTGTAATGAGATTATTAGAGGCAATATTGGGTATGAGGTTGTTGCAAATTTGGTCCTTGGTTTTAAACACCTGTTAGTCAATTTAAACATTTGAATTGTTAGCTTTATTGCTATGAGAAATAATTGTTGGATGCTAAGGGCTAATGATTGATGAAGCCCTTAGCCATTTGAATGATTTTATATAAGTGTTTAAGTTTGATGAAATTAAACTGCTGGAATTGCTTCGAGACCTTATGTTTATTTTGATTAAGTTGAGATGTGATACGAGCTTGCCAAAACCAAGAGCTAATGATTGACGAAGCCTTGGTCACTTGTTTTCTTTTTCTATCAGAAATGAATATGTTGAAATCTAGGGCTAATGATTGACGAAGCCCTAGTGATTTGCTATTTGAAATGTGATTTTGCCATGATTGACCAATTTGAGCCATAATGTGATTTCGAAATGGAATCGAAATTGTGAAAGTCATTCGACCTGGTGAACTCGAGTAACTTTGATCAAGCTAATCAAAAATATTTTGACGCCAGTATTAAATGATAAAAATTCAGTATTTAGTATTTTGTCTAAATTATTCCGACCCGACAATTTTCCTTTAGCCTAAACTAGCCTTAATAGTTATAGAAAATAATTTTCCATAGCTTTTGAAAACCCTAAGTCTTGTTTTAATTCCTTTTCCTTCTTTAATATTTTGCCTTGGATAGTTGTCGGTAGGAAGAGTTCCAAAATAAGAGTTTTAATAACTTTAATTAAAAACGTAGAAACTTGCTCGGCAAGAAACTTTATTTTAGGTAAAATAGTTTTTAGTGATAATTTTTGCAAGAAACCGTAGCTTTAAAGAAATTTTTCAAAGTATCTTTCTAGCTTTGATATCAAGTGGTTTACCGACTTATTTCAAGAAAATAATACTAGTTACCCTTTTTATAAGGAAAAGTATATCAAGAAAAACTATAGGAAACATACTTTTGACAAGTTTCAATCTAAGTAGATTCTTGAATTACTATGGGAAAGTAAACTAGTAATATACTAGATAAACCTCGATGTATATAAGCTTAAAAACTGAATAGAAAACTTATAGTTTCAAAATTTGGTATTTTAGGTTATTACGAGGACGCGGAACTCGATTCCCAACTTGACATCTGAATTTCACTCTTGGTGAGTGTCCCTGCCTGCTCTATGCTTACTTGGTTAAAGTGCTTTCTTGACTCAATAGGTGATAATTTGCAAAACTAGTTTTTGATCCATCGAAGTGAGCAGTGTGTACTTTATCGCACTAGCCGTTCGAGTGGTGACTTGCGTGAATCATTTTCTCCTGAATCCATGAATCAAAATGTAGTTACGTCGTTGGGTGAATCCCTCGACATCCTGAATCTAACTACAATAACGTCGTTGGGTGAATCCCTCGACCAATTATCTACGGGTATACGCAAGTATACTGCGTCCAATTATCTACGGGTTTATCTCGAGTATACTGCGTCCTTAGTCGGTGAGCGGGCCCGGGACATGGGTATGAATGGTGACGGGTTAGGTATCAAAATGAGACGCTCTACATGGAATATAAGTAGTGAGAGTTGACGGAGGGTGTGAGAACCCGTAAAACCCTCATTATTTTCCTAGGGTTTATTTCCCCTTAATTGCATGTTTTCTGCATTTTCTGGCTTAGATATATTTTCCTGGTGAATTTTATGAGTAATTATAGTTTTAAGATGAGTTTTCTCGTATTGGATAGTTTTTAGAAAAATTAAGAGCGTATTTTGGATGTGGGACCCACTAGTGCGAAAAGTTCGGAAAAAATTCGGCCAATAAGGTTAAGTTTCGGATACTGTGAGAAATTTATCGGGTGTTGAGTGATTGATGTGAGAGAGAAAAGAAAGATAGGAAGGCATTTAATGAGATGCCACATGTCCCTTTCTCATTGGTTATGACTTAAGAAACACTATTCACCTTTTGACAAATTTTTGACTTTTGACCCAACTAGTAAATATCTTCAAAAATTCACTAAAATTCCCTCATTTTCTCTCCACCATAGCCGGCCCTCTCAAGCTCCAAGGAAGACAAAACTCTTCAACATGCAAGCTTCTAACAAGGCCAAATCCACCAAATCAAGTGCTTAAGTTAGTTCTACTCCATAAAAACTTTGCTCCTTGTGATAGTAAGTGTGTTGGTGAACTTTGTTTGAAGGATTAAGGTGTTCAACATCCTCCTTTCCCTTGTTTCTTGGTAAGTGATGTTTTACTACTTCCTTATACTTAATGATGGTTATTTTGTGCTTAATGGTGGCATAAGTGTTGGAATATATGATTTGTTTCTTGATTTATAGTGATTTGGTGAAGTTTTTATTTTTTGGGAATTTTTCTGGTTTAATATGATCTTGATGTTGGGGGCTTGTATGATGAATTGTAATGGTTGGCAATGACTCTAGTGAGTGTGAATTGTGGTTAAATGCAATCAATTTTGGATTTGAATGGAATTGTGCAAAGTTAGGGTTCTTGAACCCCTATTCTGTCCGAAATTTTAGGTCATAGCTAGAGGCCGAATTGGACTTTTCTCAAAACATAAAAGTTGTAGGTATTGATGAGTTTAGTGTGCCTGCAAAATTTCAGGGCAATTGGACTATTGTAGAGTGAGTTATGCCGTTTTTACTGTTGCTGTTTTTGGTGCACAGAATGTCCGAACTGCGATAGTAATTGCCTGTTTTGACTGGAATTGATTTGGATTTTGAAGTTAGTGTCTTCTGAGGAAATGTAGCTGGATGTCTTAGCTAACTTATGCCTTTGGAATTTCGGCATTTGGACCTGTGTAGGCTGAGATTGACGTATTACAGTTTTCTGCGTTTTGCAAACCTGTTTTGGGAATTCTGGTATAGTATTTCGTATATTTGACCTAGTTGTGTTAGGAACTGGATTGAGTGACCTTCTACATTGTTGTAGTTCTGTTTCTTGGCTTCGAAATGGTGGGTCTTACACCCCCATCCGATATTTGTAGTGAGAGTTGTGCCATTACCGCATTATGACGTCAAAACCGGTTTTCTTATCAAGGCCTAAGTTAAAGCCCTTTCTTAATTTCTGGTTTGCTATCATGCTTATTTGTGCATATGAAACCCTATTGGGGTTGTGTTAAGCATTGCTATACGACTCGTTATCGAGTCTCATTGCATTTGTTGCGTGATTCTAGGACGTGACGGTAGTTCACGGCGGATTGGTGACCACGGTGTATGAAACACCACTTTCTTGCGTGGTGAGTTTACTACTCACTTGTGTGCTATTATATGGCTTTGCTACTTGAACTTGGTGCTTGGAATGTTAATTGCTTGAAGTGAAAGTGTACTTTATCACTCTCACTTATTGTTTCGCATGTTATTGAAAAGTTATTGGAATGTTATATGAAATGTTATATGAAATGAAATACAAATGTTATCAATGTTATCAATGACTTCAAATATTATCCATGAGCTCAATCCCATTGGAAATTGATTGAATCGAGCCGGCGAGGGTTTGGTCGTGCCAATTAATGTACCTTGGGCAACGTTATATGGAATCTTGTAGTATGAGAGACTCTTGATTCCGGTTTACTCGAGTAATACCACAATGCATGCGTTTGGATTTCGGGCCCGGTTGAGGAATGTTAGGAGGAAGGGAATGGAAGTTAAGAGGAGTCTACGGTTGGTTACTTTTCAGACATTGACGGAGAGTCAATGAGACCTGATCAAGAATTTAAACGAGGAAAAGGGCTCTTGAGAGCCACCCGTATCCTTTTATCCTCATTATTAATGTGTGGCTTTATTTATTTTGGTAAATTGGACTGTTAAGCTTGATGTATCCATGAACTTGGTTGCTTGAGTTGTATTCTCACTGGGCAATTAGCTCACCCCGTTCCTTTTGTTTTCCTTACAGGATTATAACTCTTTTGGAAAGAATTTTGATAAATGGTTGCCGAATGAACTAGATAAATGACTCTTTTGTATTGTATATAAAATGGGACCCTAAATGTATCATTAGGGCCGTTTTCACTTTTGTTTTGGCAAACCACATATGTAGTGACTTTTGTATCACTTTTAAATGCCATTGTGGCTTGTAAATGTTTAATGTTATGTTGTATATGTATTTCGATGTTTGGTTGGGTTTCGGACGGGTCGGTTACTATTCATGGCCGACTCCGGATTTTGTTTCTTTTATTTTGGGTTATTTTACCATTTTGACCTGTTTACGCTCGTTTGTAAGTTCCGGATCGCAATAGATAGCTCTAATCTGATCCGTAGTCCTGGCGAGAGCTGGGCAGGCAGTCCGCTAACCCCTTTGGTTCGCCTTAGGGGAAAGTGGGGCTGTTACAGTGGGTCAACTACGGGGAATGGTGATCAAGCGAGGAAAATGGCACCTGAGAGCCCCTGTATCCTACCTTGTGCTGTTATACGCTTTCCTAATTGTTCAATTTGTTTAAGTTATTTCTCGTTGTTTGGTTTACGTGACTGCATGTTTTGGGGCACCACTGAGCTTTAGTTCACCCCACGTTCATTTGTTTTCCTTACAGGTCTTGAGGTTTGAAAGAAATTGAGCTGCTTGTATTTCCTATGAACGTACTTGAACAACTTGAATTTAGATTTCGGTTTGTAATGAATTCTACGTTAAGTACTGTACCTTTTATTTTGGTTGCCACTTGAAGCTGGAAAAGTGTAATCCCTAATTCTAATATTCGGTTTGTATGTTTGTATTGGTATAGTATGTCTTAACCCCTGCGAGGAACGCGTGAAGTGTTTAAGAGCCGTCGATTGGCTAAGTTGTATGCTGTTATCTTTGAAGTTAATGTGGTGATAGAAATCGATTTATTTCGGAAGAATTATTTTTGTAGTAGTTTAGGTTGATCCCTGGAGGATTTTGAGTTGGAATGCTTGCGTGAGTCCTGGCGAGAGTTGGGCAGACGGCCCGCCAACCCTTTGGTTCGCCTTAGGGGGAAGTGGGGTCGCCACAGTACTCAATTGCCACCAATATAAATCGATGCCCATTTGAAGTTGGAGGGTCAATTGTGCCAATCACATCCATACCCCACATTGAGCAGGGCCATGGGGCAATCATACTGTGCAATTCGGTGGGATGAGCGCGTATGATGTCACCATGCATTTGACATTTAATACATCTTCGGACAAAATCTATGCAATCGTGTTCCATTGTAAGCCAAAAATACCCGGTTCTCATGATTTTCTTTGCCAACAAATGTCCATTCATGTGAGATCCACAGACGCCGCTATGCACCTCTTTCATCATGTATTGAGCTTCAACTTCATCGATACACCTTAAGAGGTTCAAATATGAGGTTCTTTTGTATAATATCTCTCCATTTAAGAAAAACTTCGAGGCCATTCTGCGTAGGAAACCCTTGTCATTTGCACTGGCTTCTGGAGGGTAAGATCCGGTTTTGATGAATTCCTTAATATCATTGTACCAAGGACTATTGCCAGATGTCTTGTCTATGACCCAACAATGAGCAGGCTTGTCTTGGAGTTGAATCCGGATAGGCTCCATTCCCAATTCGTCCGGATATTGTATCATGGAAGATAAAGTGGCCAAGGCATCTGCAAATGCATTTCGAGCTCGTAGGAGATGTCTGAATTCCAAACTTTGAAATTGTTTAGCCAAATTGAGCAAATTACAGTGGTATGGCAGGATTTTTGAATCTTTGGTTACCCACTGCTTCAATGTTTGGTGCACGAGTAAATCTGAATCACTGAAGGCTATTAACTCCTTAACCTCCATTTCCAAAGCCATTTTGAGACCAAAAATACATGCTTCATACTCAGCCATGTTGTTCATGCAAGCAAATTGTAACTTAGAGGCTCCAGGGTAATGCCTCCCCTCCGGGGATACAAGGACTGCTCCTATTCCGATTCCAAAAGAATTGGCTGCACCATCGAAAAATAATCTCCACTCAGGGCACTGCTCGCTCATATCTTCTATGACATCAACAAATAAGACCTTTTCATCAGGGAAATAGGTATGGAGAGGTTGATAATCATCGTCCTTTGGATTTTTCGCCAAATGATCGGCTATAGCTTGCCCCTTGACGGCCTTTTGCGAAGTGAAAACAATATCAAATTCTGAAAGAATCATCTGCCATTTGGCCAGACGCCCTGTTGGCATCGGCTTCTCCAAGAGGTATTTCAAAGGATCGGAGCGGGAGATGAGGTAGGTAGTATGACTTAGCAAGTAGTGTCTTAATTTCTGAGCTGCCCAGGCCAATGCACAGCAGCTTTTCTCAATAAATGAATAATTAGCCTCATACTGCGTGAATTTCTTGCTAAGATAGTAGATGGCTTGCTCTTTCCTTCCCGAGTCATCGTGCTGCCCCAGAACACACCCTACCGCTCCATCGAGCACAGATAAGTACATGATCAAAGGCCGGCCCGGTTTGGGTGGCACTAGGATCGGAGGCTGCAGCAAATAATCTTTAATTTTGTCAAAAGCTTGTTGGCACTCCTCATTCCAATGCAACGGCACATTCTTTTTTAGCAACTTGAATAGTGGCTCGCACGTCGCGGTTAATTGGGCAATGAATCTTCCAATGAAGTTAATCTTCCCCAAAAAACTTTTCACATCTTTCTACATTTTCGGCACTGGCATGTCTCGAATTGCCTTGATCTTTACCGGATCTATCTCTATGCCCTTCTCGCTGACAATGAAGCCTAACAATTTACCAGCTGGTGCTCCAAAGGCGCACTTTGCAGGATTTAACTTCAAATTGTACTTTCGCAACCTTTCAAACAACTTCCTTAAATCCATCAAATGGTCCTCAGCTTTCTTGGATTTGATTATAATGTCATCCACATAGACCTCCATCTCCTTGTGGATCATGTCATGAAACAACGTAGTCATAGTCCTTTGATAAGTAGCTCCGGCATTCTTTAAACCAAACGGCATTACTCGTTAGCAAAAGGTGCCCCAAGGGGTGATAAATGCAGTCTTTTCTCTATCCTCCTCAGCCATTAAGATCTGATGGTATCCAGCAAAACAATCACAGAAAGATTCAATTTCATGTCCGGCAGTGTTGTCTAGAATGATATGGATATTTGGCAAAGGAAAGTCATCTTTAGGGCTGGCCTTATTAAGGTCCCTATAGTCAACACAGACTCGCACTTCTCCATTTTTCTTTGGAACAGGGACTGGATTTGAGAGCCAAACAGGGTAATGGGATACAATGATAATATTAGTCTTAAGCTGTTTTTCAATTTGCTCTTTTATTTTGAGGCTCATTTCTGGTTTGAATTTACGGGATTTTTGCTTTACTGGTGGAAAAGCTAGGTTTGTGGGTAATCTGTGCACCACTACATCAGTCGAAATGCCAGTCATATCGTCATAAGACCATGCAAACACGTCTTGAAACATAGACAAAAATTCAATCATCTCCTCTTTCTGCCTTTTGTTCAAATGAATGCTGATTTGTACTTCCTTAATCTCTGTCTCAGTACCAATGTTAACAACTTCTGTTTCTTCTAAGTTTGGTTTAGATTTCTCCTCATATTGGTCAAGATCTTTTGAAAAAGAATCAAACACTTCCTCACTATCACTCTCGCTTTAAAATTCGGATTCCGTAACTTTTAAGTCGTGAGTGATATAGAGATTGTCATCATCAGATTCCAGAACAGTGATATCCAAAGGGTTAAATAATTTTACTTTTGGCCATCTGAAAGAATTTAAGAAATTCGAGACAATAAGTAAATAGACACATAAATGAACGGCATGATAAAACAAACTATGCACTTTCATAAAACTTCAGATCAAAACAGAAACAAGGTAAAACATAAGTGCAAAAGATGCTTTCATTGAACTATTTACATATGCAAGAAAAGTTTTCATGAACTTTAGTAAATGACAACCCCCTGTAGATTTACCGAAACTCCCTTCGCACGGGGAAGTACTCAGCAGTCCAGTTGTGTATAGCTCCTTGGGGAATGTCTGGGAATTTGGCATCATCTGACGGGCCATTTTCGGATATTGCTCCCACAAACAAATGAGTCAGGCTTGTCTCTACTTCATCAATTGGGCTAAACTCAGATGTAATGACTTCAGCTGGTTTTGGAAAGGTATAGCGTAATGGCGGAATGTCTAAAACACCTATCTTGCCTTCCTTTTCTGCCCTTTTGCGCGCTTTCATCTCTTGTATATCTCTGGCGGTCGGACGGAATCCCAAACCAAACAGGTCCTTCTTTTCGATGAGTTCCACAGGTTTCAACATGCCTTGCAAATTGCGTCCCAATCCCTTGTCAAATTCATATCCTTCGCGAATCATCTCCTTGGCCATCATGACACTGGCCGCTGGTAAAACCATTTTGTCTTTTGAATCCTCACTTGTTATCCAACTCACGGAGACAATATCAGCAGTACGGTAAGAAGACACTGAAGCATTTCGGTTACCATCCTCCTCAGGCTCAGAATCGGCAATTACAATGCAATCTTCTTCAGCAAAAATGGTTATCAGCTGGTCATTTACCACAAATTTCAGCACTTGATGCAGGGAAGAGGGCACAGCGCCAGAGCTATGAATCCACGGCCGTCCGAGTAAAACATTATAAACACTAGAAAAGTGCATAACTTGGCAGGCTATCTGAAATTGAGCGGGCCCCATTTCGACCACCAAATTCACTTCTCCTATGGACTCCCTTTGGGCTCCATCGAATCCTCTAACTACGGTCTCTGAGGGTTTTAATTTAACATCTTGCAACCCTAACTTTACCAATGTACTCCAAGGACAAATATTGAGGGCAGACCCATTGTCGATCAGTACTTTAGGCAAATCTTTCTATTGCACCTCACGGCTACATATAAGGCTTTGTTATGACCAATTCCTTCTGCAGGCAGCTCTTCATCAGAAAAAGTGATTTGTTTAGCAGCCAATACATTTCCAACTATGTGCGAGAAATTGTCAACCGAAATATCCTTGGGAATACAAGCCTTAGTCAACACTTCAAGTAACGCATCCCTGTGCAAGTCGGAGGTGAAAAGCAAATCCAGTATGGAAATTTGGGCAGGCATTTTGTTCAACTGTTCGACCACATTGTATTCGCTTCTCTTAAGCCTCTTAAGAAAATCCCATGTTTCTCTTTCGGTCACTGCAGGCTTGGTAGTCGGCTCACGATTGTTTACTTGAATTGGGGCGTTAGCAGTTGAGGGACTTGCAATCCTCCCTGACCTCGTAACAACAGACACTTCTTCCTTCCAAACTGGTTTGCCCCCGATTTGCAAAACGGGCTCACTATAATTCCACGGCACTTGTCGTAGACTTAAAACTGGCACTTGTTCTGGGAATTCAATTATCACAGGTTCTAAGGCCGCACTTTCGGATGGGGTTAGGTCTAAAATGAAAGGCCTTTTGTCTTCCTCATATGCTGCTTCCTCTATCACAAAAGGTTGCTCCATTATCCCACACACTTCTATCTCATTTGGCATGCTCCGGACAAGCTCTTTGAATTTCTCATCATCCATAATAACTCCAATAGTACCAGCATGCTCCGGCAAGGGGTTTTTGTTCACATTCGGTCCTTGCTCTTCTCTTTTTCTAATCACGATCTCCCCCGCTTCTACCATGTCTTGAACTTTATGTTTAAGGAGTCGACAATTGGCCGTGGAGTGACCGGGTGCTCCTGAATGATAAGCACAAGTAGCCTGTGGATTATACCCAGTTGGCACGCCATACGGGTAAGTTGGAGGGGGAATCACACCTATTTTACCGGCAGCCTTTAATTGCTCATACAACTGATCCAAAGGCCTACCAAGATTGGTGAATGTTCGAGCACGATTTTGATTGTAGGTTTCAGTAGGTTGGGGTAGTTGTAGGTGGGTCTGTTTAGTGGGGGAAATCTTTGGTGGTAAGGAGGTCGAGGACGAGTTTGTTGAAAGTTAGGTTGCGATACTTGAAAAGGGGCCGTAGGCGGGTTGGCGTAATTTGGGCGAGGTCGGGGGTGCGAGATATTGGTATTGTGACAGGGTAAGGACTTGGATAGTAGGGATAAGGTGGATATGTTGGTTTATGTTGAAATCTAGGTCTTGGTGTAGGGTTTTGATCCCATATGAAGGCAGCTTCCCCCTCTTTCTTTTTAAATTGCGGCATTTTCCCACTACTCCCTTGTCCTTGTAAAGCATCCAACTGGGATTTGAGGGCAGAGACATTAACAATCTTTCCAACTCTTACAAAGTCGTCGTACTCCTCAAGCTTATTGATAATGGCGGCGAACGAGCATCCAGTCATGCGGAAAATTTCTTCAAAGTACGACGGATCATGTGCTTTAATGAAAGTGCGTATGATTTCGTCCTCAGTCATTGGTGACTCGACTTTTGCAGCTATCTTCCTCCACCTCTTGGCATAAGTCTTGTGATTCTCAGAGGGTTTTCTTTTTGTTCCTTCCAACGTAGTTCGTGTCGGGGCCAACTCGCAGTTATACTCGTACTGCCTTACAAAAGCATTGGACAAGTCAATCCAGGTTTTTACTTCTTCAGGTTTCAAATTTGAGTACCAGTCGAGGGCATCCCCCTCCAGACTTTCCGGAAACAACCTTAAAGGCAGGTTCTCGTCGTCTACAGGCTTTCCCAACTTGTTAGCAAATAGTCGGAGGTGTGTTTTGGGATTACCCGTTCCATCATACTTGTTAAACTTAGGGGTTTTGAACCCCTCAGGCAACTGCACATTCGAAAAAAGCAAAACTCATCGTAATCCAGAACTCCTTACTTGTTCAACCCCTGACTTTTCCTCATAAACTCATCGAAACGGTCCAGGCGCTTGAGCAGCTTCATATCAACGGGAGCAGAAGATTCCCCTATTTTTGGCTTAGCTTGGACAATATGGTCTGGCAGGAATGGCTCAGCAACAGTGTGATAAAAGGTATGTGGCTCAGGTGGTATATTTGAAGTGGCTTGGGGTTGTGGGCCTTGCATGTTAGTAGGAAAAAATGAAGAATTAGGAGGGTAAGTGTATGGCAAATTTATGGTGGGATAGGTGAAAGTTCCTTCGGGTGGAATAGGGAAAGATGGTATAACAGTAGTTTGAGTCGGGGGTATGACAAATGGTTCTTGCTCAGGTTGACTGACGGGTACGGGCTCGGGTTGAACTCCGCTACTGATAAACTCATCAATCAATTTTCTTTGGGCCG